TCACAGGTGCTTCAACAGTCATTTTAATAAAAGTGTGTTGATTACATGAAACATTAGCTTAAAGGGCACAGGTGGTGATGGATGTGTTAACAGCTTAAGGCATCATCTGTGATTTCTGCCTCCTCTCTCTGTAGCCCAGCTATGGAGGAGGAGTAGGTGCCCACAGACCTCCCAAATAGAAATCTGCATCACACAGGAGACAGTGTCCTGAGCACACAGCCACAACTACAGATACCTCTCCTGCCTGTAACAGGCTCTAGGTACCAAGAGCTCCTGGAGGACTCACCTGCTTTTCCATCACAAGGGACACTCTCTCTGTCAAGGAGCTAGATACTCTGTCTATTATGCTGTCCACCATGGCGTTTTGTCTGCAAAAGAAGGGACTTACAAAGCTTGGTTAATATTTCATCACGACTGAGAGTCCTCTGGAGGTCAGGTGAGCCACATCTCTGCTCCATGGTCTCATTTTTGTTGCCCAGTGGCCCATGTCAGTATGGACCATCAGTGAGCATCTGAGCAGCTCATGTCTAAGTAGCTGCCTCCTCAGTGCCTAGGTGTCCATCACAGCCCTGACACAGCATCATTCACTCAGCCCCTAACTACACAGCACCAGGATGAGCCTTGGGCACCTGGCAAAAAAATTCAACCTTTAACTTCCTTTATACACAAGTCTCACTGAGGTTGTCTCCTCCCCTTCAACTCTCATCCAGGTTTTATTCCCTGAAGTTCCCATTCTGAGTGTTCACTGAAGGAAGGGTTTGTTTTCCTTGTGCTCTGCTAAGTATGGATGGCCTATGTAGGGCTCCTCATTTCCCTTGAATTCACTGATAAACCAAATACTCGCCTGCCTACCTTGTCCTCAGGTTATGTTTAAAAAGACAGAGAACCTGTGTGTATTCACTAAGTCATTCTGTGAGCTGAGTACAATGCCTGCCAAATCACATAGCAGATATTTGACTAGCAGAATTAGTAAAGGGGTCCAGGGACATATCTCTGTCCACACATTATTTTCCCCGTAGGCATGAGGACCCAAGTTCCATCCCTAGGATCTTATTAATTAGGAAAGAAAGAAAAGCCAGGTGACAACAAACACATGTAATTCAGAGCAGTGAAGACAGAGATGAGGAGACTCCTCAGCTGGCTTAGCCTACTTGGTGAGCTCCAGGCGCTGACACATGTGCATGTGTGCCTGCACACACACACCCATTTCTTCCTTCCAAAAATAAACAAAGAACAGGTCCAGTTAAATAGACAGTGTGACATTTGGTCTGGTGATCTCCAACTAAGACCCCACCATGCAGGAAACAGAGGCAGGTAGCTCTCTGAGATTGAAATTAACCAGAGCTGTATAGTGAGACCCTGTCACAAAATGTTTGTGCATACAATGACAACAGAGACAAGTACTCCGAAGGACCAGTGGTTATTCTTATAAGAAAGAGAGAAGGCCGGGTGGTGGTGGCACATGCCTTTAATCCCAGCATTTGAGATACAGAACCAGGAAGATCTCTGTGAGTTCATGGCCAGCCTGGTCTACAGAGAGAGATCCACGATAGGCACCAAAACTACACGAAAATCCCTGCCTCAAAAAGACCAAAAAATAAAATAAAATAAATAAGAAAAAGGCCCTGAAAGGTGAAAAGATTCAGTGAGTTTGAGTAAGGAGAGAGATGTTTCACATAAACACAACTTCCATGCCAAGGTCCTGTCTAAGGAAAATGCTTGTCTAAGGCACAAATCTTAGGACAATGTGTTTAAAGGAGGGTGAGCGGAGAGTGTCCATGAGAGTATTTATGGCCATGGGGATTCAGACACAGTGGAACAACATGAGTTTCCTGGGTCTGCTTGGCAGGACATTGTCCAGCAGGACCCAGGTCTTTTATTACATGCCAACAAAACTATGGTCCTGTCTTTGATTTGAGATCAGATCTTTGGTAGAGGGGGGATTGGTGACCTCAGGGCATGGTCATGGTCATCAAGACTGGAAACAGAGGCCATCCCTGCATTCTTGACCCAGGTTTCCCAGACCCAACCCTTGGCTTGCTGGCGATGTTTCCTCTCCCAGACACTGGGTAGCATCACCTGTCTCCACCTTGTGCCCGAGATAAACATTCTTTTCCAAGCATTCCATTAAACATGCAGATTTTGCAGATCAACAGGGATCGGTGATAGAAAATGTCAGGATTAATATACCAAGATCTCACTGTAGAATTTTGCATCAGTAGAGAGTAAGTCATGCAACGAGGGCCCATGCCAGCAAATAATTTTCACCTCAGCGTGGATATAAATGTTAACTTCTTCACATGGACAAGGCACATTGACCCAGGTGAAAGTTATTGTAAGCAAATGCATGATTATGGCTGGAGCTTCTCAGGTCTTCATCCCAGAAGCTGAGAAGTGCAGGTCTCTACTGTTCTAATGCACAGATGTGGAAACTGAGGCCTCAAAAGCTGCAGAGTGACAGTGCTGACAGTAGAGACAAAGTTGATCCTTTAGTGTTGTCTGAATGTGTGTTTCACCATGCTGCTTCCCAGGTGTAGGAACAGGATTAAAGTCGGGTCCTAAAGCCTCCCTGAGAGCCCACTCTGCTGGGATGGATGAGTCTTACCTGCCTGATGAATCAGAGATGTCCTTCATTGTTTCATTTGCGCATTTCCACATGGTCACATAGGGCCTGCTCTTCTGGCTCTCTGTTACATCCCTTATGAAACAGGAGATTCAAGAAAATGATGGCTCTTTTCCTGGGATTATCATCATGCCTGCAGAAGATAAAAGTCCCACTGAACACAGGACTAGAAGGCTTTGCTGGTTGCCCTGGTTTTCATCTTCTGAGTGGATGCAATAACATGTGTCTAAAGGCATTGTCAGTAACATCTGGGTAATATCAACATGTTACATATTCTCCACAAAATTTACGCATTTGTATTAGAGTTCTGTAGGTCATGCATGTTCAGCACATGTGAGCTATTTACTTGGCATTAGACTAAGAATGAAGATAATTACTAACATTTGTGACACAAATCACATGTGTTAATTTCAAGTATTTAATCCATCGAATCACTACAACAGTGCTAGGAGATAAATCACACTCTTTTCAGAGTGAGGAGACCTGGGCATAGAGAGGTTAAGTAAGTACCCCAAGATCTCACAGCTTATGGCTTCATAAGTGCATAGACTTCATATAGGCTCTATGCCCCACACTGCTGCTGATGGAAGCCCGGCTCTCACAGGTACTGGGCAAGTGCTCTCCCTGAAATATACCCCCAGGTCTGAAACTCTCTTGCACAGGTTCTTGACTTGGTCATTTCCTTATCTGTCTGTTTAAATTAAAAATTTTAATTTTATTTTACTTGTTCATCTAGTCTATCCCTAATCTCTGAGTTCTAGTTTCTATGAGAAACCATATCTCAAAAATTAATGTGGCAAAAGTTTGAGGCAGATTCCTGATGTTTGCCTCTGACCTCCACCATCACTTGTGAGTACATATGTGAGTCTGTATACACACATATACACCAATGCAAAACACACAAAAAAGGATGTTGCATAGGACATTTTTTTTTGGACAGAGATTTAACATGGCCTGTTTTCACTACAATAATTTAAAGATTGGGTTTTTAGGCCTCAGAGGGTCTCCCCTTTAACAGATTAGGAAATGGAGGGCAGAAGTCATGAAGTACCTGGTAATGAAGTAACCACTCAAATGGCCAGGTCACTGCACCTTCTAAATTTAAGTGACATATACTCACAGATACACAGAAGAATCCACAATCAGGGGCATCTTCACCTCTGTGCCATTGTCGTTGGAAGACAGGCCAGCTTGCAAGTTCCTCTTACTCTGTCCACTGAATATATCCCTGCGACAAACCACAAGTGCACTCTAGTCATCCCTCCTGCAATATTTGAAGTCTCCTCATCACTCTCGTGTCCTCACTACGTCCTCTTCAGAAATGTGAGTCTCTACACTCTCAAGGACAGTCCAGAACAAGGGAAACAGTAGGTAGCAGAGCCAGAACTTGAACCCAGGACTGTGTGACTCAAAACTCTAGAAAGCCACTGCTTGGGACTAATGGGTTGTGGATTCCAGCTTCCTGTCCCTCAAAGGAACTTGGACTTTTACTTTTGTCTAAATTTGAATGAAGAAAGTATTTTTCTTAGAGAAAGGCTTTAGGTACCACCATGCAGGTGGAGATGGGGACAAATGGAACGTTCACCTTGAGTATTACAGACTATGGGAGAACAGATGTGTGAACTGGCCCTGTAGTTCTGCCTCAAACTTACTCAGGCTCTAATGTTCCTTGCCTTGGAACTCCACAGCTCTGTGGAGAAGACAAGGCTTACCCATAGGTCTTTAACATTAGTCCCTTTTCTGGGAGCAAAGAAGCACCAACTCACCTCATATTATTCAGATAAAAAGAGTGATTTAATCTTCTCAAAGTCATTGAATAGTAAGGAAGTACAATGTTTCGATTGTCCTTTCCTGATGCTCAGTTTTCTCACTGAAGTTGACCGGTACATCCAGCTTCTGAATGAATTCTGTCACAACAGTCATCAGTCAGTGTCTGCAGCACTAGGGAATGAGCTCCCATCCTCCTATCTCAGAGAGTCAGTTTCCCTGAACTGTTTCATTCAGTCTCTGCAATAGCTCAGCAAGAAAGGACTGCCACCATCTCCATTGTTCAGAAGAGGAACCTGATTCCTTAGATTAGGAAATGTGTCCACACAGCTGGATCCATGCACTGTTTCCAGGCTGACTAAATATTAATATCAGTCACTTATCAAAAACAATTGGTAATTGGCCAAGCAATGGAAGTGGATTGTGTATGCCTGTTTGCAGGGGTGACTTGAGGATCTGTTGCTCTTATTGAGGTTGTTATGTGAGTCTGAAAAACTTAGTCAAGAACTGGAGAGAATAAACCAAGAAATGGAGAAATGGAGAACCATGGGAAAAAAGAAGCGGACAAATATTGATTCAACCAGTGAAAGAGGAGAATAGGTATCCCAACCTGACAGCTGGGAATTTGGCCTACAGAAAATATCATTGGAGCAGGAGAGAGAGTTCTAACAGAAGATCTCAGAGAGCAACCAGGAAATGCATAGAATAGTTGTCCTGTGTCAAACTGGATGTGTGAAGTATTAGGGATGTTTATGTAGAAAATGTCTCTATTGTGAAACAAAGCAATTATTAATCTGAAATATAACAGAATGAATCAACAACAGTAACAACAACAATCCCCCCTCTTTTCAAAATGAGCCATGACTTAAAATGATTCTTTAAGATATTGATTGTAAAACATTTTTGCGATTTAATTTCTCCACAGTTTGTAACCTGTTTCATTTGTTTGGATGTAAACCAGTTTAGATGAGCCTAGTGATGTCATAACTGTTTTGTCTCACTTGTACAGTGTTGTTTCAGTTCATCCTTCAGCTTTATTTGTTTAGCATTAATTAGTTACTTAAAACTATTTAAATAACAAAATTATTTAGCTGTAGATTAAATAATTGTAATTATTTAAAGTGATTTCATTCCCCTGTGAAGTCTAGCCTTTGTCTCTGTGGACTGCTTTCCTGCTCTGTATTGAGTGTCTTTATTGCTGTCAAAGGTTTCACATCTTCCACTGGGCTGTTTGTAATGCTTACATGCATGCATACATACATACATACTTACATATACCATAATATGCAAGTAGTTTTGAATTTTTTAAAGTAAGAACTTCACATATGACCTCATACTATCTGTGATTCCAATTCAGTGTTGAGATTGGAGAGTTGGCTCAACAGTGCTTTCTTCTCTTTCAGAAGACTAGAGTTCAGTACCTAGCACCCTACTGAACATTTCATAACCTTCTATAACTCCTCAGGATCTGAGACCCTTTTCTGGCTTCTGTGGGCACACACACAGATGTGCACAGAGAGATACATCCACATGAATGAAAATAAAATCTTAAAATCACTTTCAATAAAACATAATTTCAATACGCATCTTGGCTCTGTCCTGACACAATACTTTTGACACAACACTTTAAATAATGTAAACCAATAGTAAAGATATGAAAAATGGGAGGATGGTCAGATTTAGAGAAATGCAAGGTGAGATGAGTCACAAACCATTTAAAGTTGTCCAGTTAGTGCAAGAGAGCAGTGTGGGAGACAGGGTCCCTCAAACTGCCAGAGAAAGTGAATAGGGGAATATTTGTCAACAGTTAAAAATAATTTCAAATACAAATTTGTAAATTTTGAAATCTCATTTTGAAGAATTTATCCCGTGCATGTACTCACAGAACTCTATTAGGAAATGATGTCAACGCATTGGTCACATCTAAAAATATAAGTGAGTGACAGGAACTGCCCCCTCCCAGCACTCTCTGCTATTGCAGGTACAGTGTTAGGGTCACTCCTGGAACTAGCTGGTGGCAACTTCACTGACTCATTTCCAGAGACAGAATTCAGAATGTCCAAATTATTCAGGTTAGTTCCAATATTACCTGAAAGTGCTGCTGAGGTCCCAGTGAGCAGGCTGCAAAGGAAAACAAGGCTCCCATGTTGGAACATCTTTGGTCCTGACGCCTGTATTGTCATAGAGGAAGAAAAGGAAACAAGAATCCACAGTGAACACCTGTCACTCTCACACCTGACCTTCCAACAGGACACAGGTGCTTCTGTGCACAATAGGTAAGAAATGGAACCAGGAGAGATGGCCACCATTGCCAGTGGATAAAGAAATTGATGCCAAGTGCACAAGGGTATTTTATTGAGCCATGAGGAAAAGTGAAATCATGACATTTCCAGGAAATGAATGGAAGTGGAAGTCATTTTGCTAAACAAGATTATCTAGATTCTGAATGGCAAAATACCCCATTTTCTGCTTTGTACAAATGAGATTAAATATATATATATATTTGAATGTGTTGAACATGTATGAGCTCATAAGATAAGGAGACGATGAGAGAAGAAGAAATCCTAAGGAAAGAGAAGATGGGGGAGGAGAAAAAGAACATAGAATGCTTGTGACAGGAAGGTAAAAGGAAGGAGGTAGAGATTAGCATGGGGTAGGGAAGAGGGAGGACACAGGGGAGAGAGAGGGATGGGAACTAAGCATGTAGGGAAATGCCACAGTGAAATCTACTAATAGTGAATTTAAAAACAGCAGACACAACAGATTTGAAGACATAGATAAGAGCTTCCATCCTGCCCCGGAGTTCCCATTTGGACAAGGGAGCTCCCATCTGGACAAGAGAGAGATAATTCCTGAATCTGTCAGCTCTGTCTGAAACAAGTGCACTGATAAGGCCAAGAACGAACCATAAGGAGATGGGCAGA